TTTGAAAACTCCTTTGAAAAAGATCATTAAATGAAGCTCATTAAAATTGATTTTTCGCCAATTCAATTTTTAGTCACTTTTTCCTTTTTCTATAGAACCGTTAAAAGTGCAAAAAGGATCATTGCATATTTTGAAGGCAGATAAAGAATGTAACCTTTTTCCACTTTTCGAGCGAAGCTCAAAAAGTGGAAAAAAGGTAGTAAATTTTTTGTTTTGAGAAAAATGATATTAAATATCTCAATTTTTGAATTGGTATCATAGAATTCGAATTTTTTAGCGGGTTTTTGTAAATAAAATAACTTTTAAGGGAGGCTTCCGACCAGAAAGCTCTCTCAATTTTTTGTGATGTTTACACCAAAAGTGAGATTCGTTAAGCGTTTTTCTCGTTGAATATTGAGTTTCCCGGATTTTGAGTTATTCATAAAGCTTCTCTATATTATACCCTATCTACTGATATGATTATTTTTGAAAAATCTCTTAAATCGACCTGCACTGAATTTTTTTAGGGAAAATTCGAAATTTTATAGGCGTTTTCTATAACGTTTTTTTACGGAATAAAATCCGAAAAATAATTTTTTGAAGAATCATTTGGGTAGAATACTTATCGAAAATTATATTTATTATAATTTTGGTCGATAAAAATAAGCGGATTCAAAACTGGCAAAAACCCTTTCGGCAATTTGTGGACGATTCCGAACCCCTTCATTTTTGAAATTTAATAAGAAAAATAGAATCTTTATTAAATATAGATTTTAAAAAACTTGGTTATAAATTACGAAATTTTCTCACTTGGGCTAAAAAGTGACAATTTGGTCGGAAGCCACCCTTAAAAGGCAAAATCAACATTTTATTGAATTTGAAAACTGTAGATCATTACATTATTAACCAGATTTTAGTATTAACATTATGAAAAACGAAAGAATTGGTGGATGAACAAAATATTTTCTAAAACAGGAGGACTTGAATTATTACTAATATAAAATAATTAGATATGTAGTGAAGATCTCAAATATCATATTAATATCAATAAATATTTTATCAATATTTTGAGAAGTAATTGATTTTTTCGAAATCTCAAAATTGAATACAGATTTCAAAACATCATCTTAGATTTCAAAATCTTCATATTCAATAATTGAATTGATGATTGAAATTCATAATTCAATTTTCGAGAAACGTCCAATTTTTTGAATGAAAAATCGATTTTAATTCGAAAATACTCACTTTTCATGGAATGCTGATTTTTACAAAAAATTAACGCATTTGACATTCATTCAAATACGCCACTTTTTTCAGAAATCAATATTTTTATGGCAAAACAAATATAAATTTTAATAAAGTACCCAAAATAATTAACAACAATATTATACAAATTTACTCTCACTTTTCAGAGAATTCAGCCTCAGCTCAATTCTCTGAAATAGTCAGAATAAATTTGTCATATACTCGATTCTCGCAATAATTAGCTTGATTTTAAGGGAACCTTAAAATCTAGCATTGAAAAGTCAGAGTATACAATATTTTTTTTGAAGATTACAAAATTGAATGATAATATCTTTAACTCAAAACAAACTACATTGTTCAAAAAAAATATTGAGCATTGAAAAACATTTCAATAATTTCTCAAAAAATGTTCATTTAACTAAATAACTCAAAACATTATTAATTTGCTATTCCTCGATATATCTTTATTATGTTTCATTAAATTTGAATTCTTTTGTAAATTTTTAATCCAATGCATTATGTTTGTGTTCAAATGTTTATTTCAATTTTGATATTCTACATTTCTCAAAATTTGAATAATAGCATTGAAATTTTATGAATGAATTCTCTCATATTCAAGTTTTATTTCCATTTTAATTGTCATTTATAATGAATGTTTATTTTCGATTGGATGTTTTCTCAATTTTTTTCCCTCCATCAATCATCTGCTCTTTTATATTCAATATTATCTCTCAACACAACAGACTTTGCAAAGTATTGTTATTTTTTTCTAAATGTTCGAAATTTCTTCAAAAACAGCTTATATTTTAAAATTATTTATAAATCCGAATATGATCATATATGTAGATAACAAATCTTTATTCAAATTGAATTAGCTCCTTTAAATTTTTTAATCATTTTAAATTAAAGATTTCTAGCATTAAATTTACTTTCATTACAATATATTATACTACATAAATTCAAAACTCTATTGAAACACGAATAAAACCATATTTTTGTTTAATTCCACAATATCGATATAAAAATAAAGTCATTTACTAATATTAACATGTAATTAATAATATATATCAATTGTACAAGCGTAGTAATATCCCAAATAACTATATAACACGCAATTTCTATGATTTCATTATGCTTCATTATTCGAATAACAATATTTCTTCGTTTTCATATCATTTTCACATTCTGGGTACGTTTTCCTTTTAGCACTAAAACTTTCAGCATCTAAATATTCAATTTATTCGATAAATTTATTTAAATTAGATAAAAACTACAACGGATTGAATTGATATTAAAAGGACAATTGTTTAATATCCTATATAAAACATATGTAATAATTATTTTATTAAACAAACAGTGTATAATGAGATATAAGAAACAAACACGAAAATAATAATCGTCATGATCGGAATTTATTTTTTAGAAAAAAGGTCCAAAATTCAATTAAAAATAATCGTTATTTTGGACTTTTTTTCCACCCAAAAATTATCTTAAAATAATAATAAATATGAATAGAAAGAGAATGCCATAAAACAATGATAAATATGAAAAGAAAGAGAATAAGTTTCGTGTTAACATCTGCACCATGTTCAACTAGGAATTTGACAATTTCTATGGATTTCGCGTTGATAGCAATACTAAGAGGGCATTCATTAATATCGAAAGAATATAATAAGGCAATGACATATATGAAGAGAAAGATAATGTAATAAAAAGTCGATAAATATAAATAATAAGATAATGTAATAAAGCAATGATAAATATGAATAAGATAATGTTATAAAACAATGATAAATATGAAAAGAAAGAGAATGCCATAAAACAATGATAAATGTGAAATGAAAGAGAATACCATAAGACAATAATAAATATGAAAAGAAAGAGAATGTTATAAAACAGAGATAAATATGAAAAGAAATAGAATACCATAAAATAATAATAAATATGAATAGAAAGAGAATGCCATAAAACAATGATAAATATGAAAAGAAAGAGAATAAGTTTCGTGTTAACATCTGCACCATGTTCAACTAGGAATTTGACAATTTCTATGGATTTCGCGTTGATAGCAATACTAAGAGGGCATTCATTAATATCGAAAGAATATAATAAGGCAATGACATATATGAAGAGAAAGGTGATGTAATAAAACAATGATAAATATGTATAGAAAGAGAATTCTATAAAACAATGATAAATATGAAATGAATCAGAATACCATAAAGCAACGATAAATATGTAAAGAAAGAAAAAGTTATAAAACAATGATAAATATGAAAAGAAAGAGAATAAGTTTTATGTTAGCATCTGCACCATGTTCAACTAGGAATTTGACAATTTCTATGGAATTAGATTTGATAGTAATACTAAGAGGGCATTCATTAATATTGAGAGAATATCATAAAACAATAATAAATATGAAAAGAAAGAGAATTTCATTAAACATTGATAAATATGTAAAGAAAGGGATTGTTATAAATCATTGATAAATATAAAAAGAAAGAGAATGCCATAAAACAATGATAAATATGAAAAGAAAGAGAATAAGTTTTATGTTAGCATCTGCACCATGTTCAACTAGGAATTTGACAATTTCTATGGAATTAGATTTGATAGCAATACTAAGAGGGCATTCATTAATATTGAGAGAATATCATAAAACAATAATAAATATGAAAAGAAAGAGAATAAGTTTCGTGTTAACATCTGCGCCATGTTCAACTAAGAATTGGACAATTTCTATTGAATTAGATTTGATAGCAATACTAAGAGGGCATTCATTAATATTGAGAGAATATCATAAAACAATGATATATATGAAAAGATAGAGAATTTTATACAACAATGATAAATATGATATGAAAGAGATGATAAATTTTGTTGATATCTTCTCTATTAGAAAGTAAATAAGATGCAATATCATAATTTCCGAAATACATGCTTTCTGCTATTGAATCAAAAGTTTGTCCGAAATTTAATTTGAGATACTCAGCAATTTCATAATTGCGATAATCCAATGCTGCATTAATCACGTTATCAAATGATTTACCATCTTCTATCATTTGCATAAAAATCTCTTTATTTCCACCTTGAACAGCATATTCTTCGGAATTATTGGTGTATTGAGCTCCTAAATTTTTCATGTAATTGAAACACAATTCTGATCCATATTTAATTGCATAGTCAAGCGGTGTGATATCATTAATTCTGTGATAAATATCAAGATTTGGGAATTTACTTTTAAGTTCATCAACTTTATCCCATGCAATATAGTATAAAAGAGATTCTGTTGGATATAAATTCAGAATTTCTTCTTCGTTCATTTCAGGTTCGAAATTTTCAAATTTGAAACCTTGACAATGTAGAAGAGTAGCCAATTTCTCATTTTTCGGTTCATGGATGTATGAAAATGCGTTTGATATCTTTTGATAAAGTTCTGAAAATAATTTAATTTCTTTAACACGAATTTGGGAAAAAATATCAATCAAATAAAGTGTCATTTTGATAGATATTTTGTGTGTTCTTATTAATTCGATAATTTGTGAAGATAATTGTATAATATTATTGGAATTGACGCCCCAAATAATTTTTGATGCTTGATCTGGGTATTCGAATTCTTTAATTGGCTTAATGTCATTGCAATTGCACCGATTTTCATTTTTTGGCTGCTCTGAACTTGACATGCTTTGAAAAAAAAATTGGCCGTGTCACTTTTAGTCATAAAAATGAAATAAAAAAAAATTAAAACGAATAATAATAAAAAAAAAACGCATATTTTAAACAATAAGAGCTACTTCAGTAATATTGTCTGATGTACGCTTTGCTTTGATGTAGCGATATAAGAAGAAACCACAGACAGCTACTGCAGCAACCAAAATTATTGGAACTACAATTGCTGCAACATTAACTTTTTTCTTGTTTGATTCATCACTTTTAATTGAAGAGTTATTCGTTGAATCACTATTATTAATAGGCTGCATTGTTGGGGTTGCAGTTGGAGTTTCAATAGGTGTTCTTGGAAGAGGAGTTGGTGCTGGTGTATCTGGAACAACACGAAGTAAGTGATATTTCTTCAAATTTTGTCTATGTTCTGTGGTGTTTGTTTCTGTACCAAGGTATTCGAGCGGCATGTGGCTCTGTTTGTATCCATTTAATGTCATTGATGCTATCATTCCTGGATCATGCCACAGAGATGTTAATTTAATATCTGTATCCATGCTTGAAGTGAATATGATCAATGTATCGAAACCAGGCAATGTCATAATGAATTCTTCTCTCCAATCACCAATAATATCTCCATGGAACATAGGATATTTTCCAGATCCATCTTCTTGTGGCCAACCACCATATGCATTGAAAAAAGCTCTGTAAGCTGTAAACAATCTATCCCCTCTTCCATTTACAGGATTCCATTTTGTTAGAACTTTTTGATTGTAGCAAGCAGGATTTAATGTTCCATCCCAATAAATGTTGTTACTTGGGAACATCGTTGATGCTGGATCTGGATTTACTGAAGTGTTTGTTGCTGCATTGTACATTCATTGGAAAGAGTAGACTTCGTAGCCAGGATGAGTTGGATCAAAATCTCCTGCATTTCCTCTTCCAACATCATGACCATAATGGATCCATTTTATATCTCCTGTTGAAGCATTATATAGTAATATTCATCAATTTGTTGTGGATTCCTTTGTTGAATACCATATCCACTCATTGTTGTATCATTCTTATTAAACTTAGCAACATAAAATCTGTCTCCATGTATGATACCTTTTTCTCCTAAGTTGAATCTAAGAGAGCCATCACCATTCAAAACATATCCAATTTTGTGAATTTCGTCAACGCCATCATAATCTACATCGGCAATTCTGAATTGGTGGCCTTCAGGGTAAATAATATTAGAATATCCGTCAGTCCAATTCCAGTCCATCTTGAATACGCCATTAGTATATGAATAAGCAGCAACAACATTGTAGAATCTTCTGTAGTTATCTCTATTCTTCATCACAACAATAAGAGATGGTTTTTCATGAGATAACCAGCCTGTTCCAAATAATGTTCCCATTGGGCCGTGTTGTAAAAACATGTCTGGAATCTTGGCTTTTTGCAATAGTTTTCCGGTCATTCCATCTACATTTGCAACCCATTGTTCAACATTGTTTTCGTGAGTGAAGACATAGCCGTCGCCAAACGTAAAATTGTTTGCAATTCTGATATATACTTCTGCCTTTCCGTCTCCGTCAAGATCAAAGATGTTAATTCCATCAATTTGTCCAACATTGACTGTTGTTGCTCCCGGTTCAATTATATAACGGTTAATACTATTATGACCAAGGTTTAAAGTCCATAAATATGTGCCATCGTGCAAATACGCTTCAACAGTTTGAATCTCGGATCCATCACGGGCAATAACAAAGTCAAGCTTACCATCACCATTTAAATCTCCAACATAGACTGTTCGGAACGATGCGCCTGGTCTAATTTGAACACGAAAACCATCAAGAATTGGAGTATTGGCAGCAATGAAATAATAAGAGCTGTTTTCAACTTCAACACCTTTAACAATGGATCCAACGAAGTAATTGTAACTTTTTGAAGCATCATAAGTATTATCATAAAAATGGGTGACTGTTGAAATAGATTGGTTGTTCACCTTCAATGTATGATTGCTTTCATCTTGACGATAAACATTAAATGCAATGTCGTCATCGTCAGTGATTAAAAATCTCCACGAAATATAAGCTGTGGTCCATCCTGACCTGATTGCAACTACTCCACGGTCAAGGTTTTCATAATATCGGCTGATTTTTTTATGATCATAGCCATATGTGTTCAGATATTTTTTCATTAGTAATCATTGGAATGCCTGACTCTTTAAAGATCGTATTTGCTGTATCATATGAAAAAGATTTCTCTTCTATAAGCCAGCGAACAATAAAGTATCCTAAGACATCGCTTGAATTAACAGACACGATGCCTATATAGCCATTAACTCTAGAATCAAAAATTTGAGCGTAAATTGAAACAATTAAAGATTTAAAATGTGTAAATAAAGTTTCTGTAATAATTGAATCATTTTGGACGATGATATTGCGCTTTTCAATGATTTTCTCACTCGATGGAGGAAATATAACTGGTTCTGTTGAAAAAACAATTAAATAAGTGAGTTTTCCTTGGCCATAAAGGGTACTTGATATTTCTTCGAAGCTGACATTACTAAAATCTTTAATATTATTCTCGAAAATGATAGGAACAAATCGAGAATGCTCAATTTTTTTTCCCGATTTTCATTACTTTTATTTTTGTATAGTTTACAAAATTTCTAAAATGATGGAATGAAAAATGAGATTGAATGAAATAGTTCTATAGATTAAATATATCCCTTTATCTATATTCCAAGAATCAATTTATTTCGAATGATTTGCAAAAAAATCTTGAATAAATCAAGTATCTTGATGAAAATTCTATTGCTATCGGCTTTTTCATTGTTAATGCATTATTTCCTATCCATGGACTTAATCAAAATTTTGTTTTCCACATGTATAACATAGTATTTTTTTTCTTCCAATAAATTTAAGGGGTGTTTTATATGGTAAAATGCAAATGTATTTCACATGGTGCTAATACCAATGAAAAAGATAAAGATGGAAGAACCGCACTTCATCTGGCAACATTGAAAAATAGTAAAGAAATTGCTGAATTACTTATTTCACATGGTGCTAATATCAATCAAAAAAAATAAAAACGGAAAAACCGCACTTCATCTGGCTGCATGGGAAAATATAACTCCAGATTATCATTATAGCGTTTGGAGATGCAACCAGCGATACTACATAAGGAAGAACTCAAGTGTATCGAATTTTAATCAATATATGTGACAATTAAGATAACATCATTGATGAAAAAAAGCTTACATGAGAAGTTTAATGAAAATTAAATGTAAACAAACATATGTTTATTCTAAAAAAATTATAAGATAAAAAGATGTTATATAAATTAGAAGATTTTTCCATTAATGAACTTAAAGTTCGCTATGTTAGAAATGCAAAGTTGTCCGTTTCTTCCAACAGAAATCATTGATTTGATGGAACTTTCGTATTTGATGAAAACAGCATCACCAAACTCTTTCACGATGAATTCATTCTCCAAGTTATCCAAACAGTAGACAGATGCATGGTCCAATCCAACGAAAACCAAGTATTCGCATCCCAAAATAGACAAAGTAAACAATCTACTGCATTTCTTCTCTATTTTTCCAATCATTCTTATAGAAGAATCAAAGACATAAGTTGTTGCATGATCAGAACAAATAACGAAACCTAATCCATCAGTTATCATCAATGATTTCGATCTGAAGTCGAATTTCTTGTTGATTTGTCTCCTCGACCTCAAAGAAATGAAATGAGTTACTCCGATGATATCAGAATAAACAATCAAATCAAATTGATGAGAAGCGGCAATTGCTGTGATTTTTGATTTAGAAGTATAAATCAATACATTATCTAAATAAATTTTTTCGCCAATCACAGAGATTAAATAAGTTCCTGATGAACAAACGAAATCCAAATCATCACATTCAGTTTCATTACAACTTTCTTGATTGATAACTAAATGTTTCCTGTTTTGGAAGACGTGAATATACTCTCTATGGAACAAAATCATTGGATTCTGTTGTAAATCAATGACATTTCTGTTTTCTTTCATTTCCAAGCTGTAGAAAGTCAATTTTCTCGTGTTTTTGTTGTAGAAAATTGCGATTTCATGGGAAATAACGAAACAAAAAGTCAATATTCCGTTGATTAATCTTTCATTTCTTTCAAATGATTTGTAATCAACAGGGATTTTAGAAGGGAACTTCTCAGCGAATAAAACTTGATGTTGGAAATCAGTTTTATAATCTTTTCCCCAAACCAAATCAATGAAATTCGGAAGCCACTTAGAAACATAATCCATTTCAAGGAGATGCCTGAATTTATACAGTTCGTGAACACAGTTTTCGACGCTGTTTAAATTCTGAAACGCATCAATGGAAAAGAAATAATCGGCAGCTAAAAATGTCTGTTCATTCAAATCAGTCAATTCCGATTTCGTTTTGTAAGGAGGGAAAGGAGAAGGAGGACCATTTAACTGTGGAATTTGTTCTCCTGGATAAGGAATGAAAGGATACAAATATGGATCACTAAATGACCTTCCACTTAAAATGTTCAATTTCATCAATAATTCGAAATTTGACAAAACGTTTTTCTGCCAAAGTTCGACGGTTTTAAGCACTTTTCTTTGAACATCAATAGCTGTCATGTCTTGGTTTATGATGTTGTTTTCATTGGATCTAAATGTCAAAAGGTAGGACTTCCTGTTTTTCGTGTAAAACTCAAATGAAAACAAATTACGAGTTGGTCTTCTCTGAATAATAGTAACAACAGAATCAAAGTCTATTGGTTTAACAGTTTGTTGATTTGACAAATAAATTTTTTGGTTCTCCTTTGACAAGTAAAATTCTCTCACTTTTTCTAATTCGACCAATTTACAACAGACACCTTTTGGTTGTAATTGGCCGGCCATTTTATGGAAACCTTTGTAGAGTTTCATTCTTAAAGGACAGAATGGTCCAAGACATGTCTTGTCGAATTTCATCGTTGTCTTGGATATCGGTTTCGGTTTGACATTTGTCAGTTTTTCTTTCAAATAATTCTGAAGATTTTTCATTGACATTTTATGAGGTTTTGTCATTTCAACACATTTTTCTAGGGATTCCCTTAATAAATTATTATTTTCAACTACAGATTCTTCGAAATAAGCTGAGTATATTTCGCAAATCATTGATTGTTGTTCGTTTTTCTCTCCTCTTTTGATTTTCTCGATGATTTCCATTGTGTTTGAATTCGAATTCATTTTCATCACCATCATTTTCGCCAATCCATCCAAAATTGTATCGTTTCGATCATACCAAAACAAAATTCTCGGAGGACCAATAATAAGTTTATTAAAATCTCCAACTTGTTTTATCGTCAAACGGTTGTCCTCAAATAATTTGTCAGTTTTATCGTTTCTAAAAGGTGACTCGAAATAAGCCGCCAACAATTCATCATGATGAGAAGGTCCGTCAACTCTATAAACGATGTGCGATGTCAATCTCTGGAAAAGGAACTCGTTTAATGAGTTATCTTTGTTATTTGTTATCAATCGCTTCAAATAGATCGATACATAATCCACTTTTTGAGGACTTTTGACTTTTGAATTCACAAATTCTAAAAATCCAAGTGAATTTTTCACTTCACTTTTTGACTTCAAAGCGACCAATGAACAAATATTAAAGATATTTTCAGAATATGTTGGCGGGAGTTGTATAGCGAACAGAATTGGGAACATATACCATATTCCGCTGAAAATTGTTTCATTAACAATTTGATTTGTGCAGTTTTGCATTGTTTGTGCTGCTGAAAGAAGAAAATCAACATCGCAGTTCAAAACTAAAGCGCAAACAAGTAAGAAAATACGAGGAACTTCCTTAATATGAGAAATAAGGAAACTACAAATGTCAGAATAATGTTCTTGATTAATTAACCTTAATTGTGTCAAAACCTCCGTTGAATGATTTTGATAAACGAAACAATTCAAAATCAACAAACAGGAAGCAGCAACAATAGGGTCTGAATGACTTACAAGTAAAAGGGCTCCTTGTTTTATCTCTTGGTTGTTGGATAAATTGATCAATTGGTTGGAAGAACTTTCTACAATTGATAAATAGAGATAAGGCTGGGAAGAATGAGATGCACAACTGACAAGAAGTTGTATATCATTCTCATTGATGTTAATCAGAGCTAATTCGCGGAGAAATTCGGAAATTTTTGTAATAATTCTTTTCATATCTCGGGTATTCTCTTCTAAAGGGTCTGTAAGCAGGTTATACGTGTTTCCTACAATGGTGGATACAAAACTCTTCTGTTCGAATATGTCTGAAAACTGATATAATACTTGTGTATTCCATAAATCAATAATTTGGCATAAATCTTCTGGAGAACATGAGATCCATGGATATAATGATAAAATAACATGTTCTAGTAATTCTACTTGGCATGGTTGCGGTAAGTGATGTAAACTATTCAAAATAATTCTGAAGGCATTCAAATTTCCGATTTTTTCGAAATACAATCGAGAATTTATGTAACTTCCAATGCCAAAGAAACCTTCAAATGCTTGGTCTGTGAAGTCAATGCATCTGAGACACTCGAAAGCATATTTCAAGGAGTTCTCTATTGTTTCTTTTGAATCGAAAACAGATTTAAGTAATTTCGTAACATATTTACGAGATTTGAACAAATCGTATGCAGATTTGTAATAGTACTTGCCTTGTATGTATATATTGAAGTCTTCATGAGTGAATCTGTCACCTTTGTGTCTTAATGGATCTTGCATCGAGAAATAATAGTCATCTGTCTGCTGATCAGTGATAGAAAACTGTCTGGCAAAGAACCTAAAATCTGAAAGATAGCCAAATACAGAAGAGCTGAAATTTCCAGAAGGGGAACTTCCCCCTCCAAAAGTGACAACGATACCTGAACCGAAATTGGGACAAACATAGTCAACTAAAGGCAAGTTTGCACCATTACTGAATGCAACTACCTTCCTATGATCTGTATTTCCGAGTAATGATACTGCAACAGTGTTAATTTCGCCCCAAGAGCCACTTGTGCTGATTACAGATTCAAACATTGCGTTGTTATCGAATGTTTCAACGTAAATAAGATGGTTTGTGAGCTTGCATGCTGTATATCTACCTTCATCATCTGTAATAGTAAACAAATTAATGCAAGCATCTGTTTTTTCAAGATATGTGTTGTCAACTTTCAAATTTAAGAGGAAAGTAATATCGTAATCGAATATTGATGAGTCTAAACCTATAACTGTGGCGATTGGATGCCCTGTTCCTAAGCAATATTTTGTCTTCGGCGTATTTTTTCCGTAAACCAATGCTTTGTTGAAATATTTTGTTACTGGTAAGTCTGGTCTGTGTTTTACTACTGATATGATCTCTTTTATGATTGCTTCTGAACAAAAGATTCTCGAATTTTGTTGAATTAACTTGAGAACTTTAAGAGGATCAAGTTTAAGGTCAATATGGATGCAATCATAATCAAATGGAGATTTTAATGAGTTCAAAAGGATGTAATCAATCCTATTTTGATGAATTTTGTAAATATTTCGATGAGAAAACTCTGCGAGCTCAATAAGTAGGTCCAATGTAGCTGAAGAAAGTGTTTTTGAGAGGATTAACGGCAAAATGAATGAGGAATTTATGATAACAAAGAGATCATTTTCAATACTCGAAGAAGATCCGGTCAAAAGGTTTGGAATCTGACTCTTTATGTAATCTGTGTCTCCATAATCCAGAATTTTGGCAATTTTGTCCGCTTCTTTTATTGAAATTGAAAATTCTTTGTTGACATGAGTCAAAGTAATGAAAATCTTGATGAGATTGTTACGTAATTCCTTACTTTTAATTCTTACTGCGAAATCTAATATGAAATCAAGAGATTCTTCCGCAATAGAAATCAAATTCGGATAATTATAAACAGTTCTTGAGATAATACTGATCAACTTGGATATAGAAACACTGTTCTCTTGGGAAACAGAATGGTCGTTGATGAAATCCGAAAGGAAAATCAAATTACAATTTAATTGTCGTTTAGAGAAACAAGATTCGATTGATTCAACAACAATGTCAGCAAACATGTCACAAGAAAGATATTGCAAGTAGCAATACGTGTAATTTCTGTTTTCAAATAAAATTTGTGGTTTCAAACTGAAAATTAAGTTGATATAACACAACATTCCATATTGTGCCATTATAGTAAGTCTAGAATCAAAGAATTTGAGCTTGTTTGTGCTTTCGAAAATTATTGTGAAAATATTCGGGTTGATATCAACGATTTTATTTGCGTAAAGGCGAGACGCGAGCTCTCCAATGATAATTGGATCGTTTTGGAACTCAATGAACAAGTTAAACAGGTAATCTTGGTTTAATGATGAATAAAATATGACTAAATCAGTTCTTAAAGCGCTTATTACCAAATCCAATGTATCCTCTTCATAAATTGATTGTTTTATACTGAATAAATTCGATAAATGGGCCTTTTTGATGTCTTCTTGCGAACAATTGAACGAAATATTCGAAAGAATCGAGAAATAAACAGCCATAATTGTATAATAGAACCTCTCGTTCTCGTGGGCTGATAATTTTTGAGTTAACTGACATAATAAAATATGCAAACATTCTTTAGCGGAATCCTTAATATTTGTAACGATATTAGTAATAATCTTTTGTATGTCATTTGAAAGCAGTGTTACTGGGTTACATAATTTGATTGTTTTGTCGAAATCTGCGTCTGAAATTTGAGTTTTGTAATTTAAGTTTTGTTGTGAGGTAACTATCTTTGTATTCGTAAGTAGATGCTTTTCTGTATCGACAATCAATGGTTCTTCGTTCTGTTTTACGTAATTTACTATTTTATTTGAAAAAATCGAAAAAGCTTCAAGTAAATATCCATCGAGTTTGTTTTTCGTTAACTGTGAAAGTAGATATATAGCTTGTGGTTCGAAATTGTAAGCAAATGGGAAAACTAACAATTCTATGTCGACAATATCGTTTTCGAAAATAAATTTACGTTTTTCAGCAATCAGTCTGATCAGTAACAAGAAATTTTGTTCGGTTCTTTCATGCGCTGGATTCGTAAGAATTAATCTCATGAAAAATATAAAAGAAGGGTAAACATGAGGTTCAAGCGTATCTATGAGGCCAAAATAACTGATAATGGCATCAATGCTACCGATTGTGAATTGAAAATTTTGAATATTCGAAACATGATTTAATAATTCAGAGAAAATAAGGTTTGCAAATTCATAATTTGATGTCAATGCGCATTTCGTAAGACAATTGATGCTTAATTTGAGAATTCTGTCATCAATTAATTCTGGCGTTAAAAAGCAAAGTGAAATCATTTGGTAGTAGATCACCGAAATGTAAGCTTTGTTCGGAGTGTACGTCTGCCGTGATGCTGCATAAAAACTATCGAGTAAGTCGGCGTTGAAATTATAATTAAACTCGACCGCGATGAGATTCTCTTTGACGGACTTGATTTCGCCTTTTTCTTGGTTTAGATAATCGATTTTTGATTTGTCAATAATCGGTAGTTCTTTCAAAAATGGATATTCAAATCCAAGATTCGAAATATTTTGATCTTCTGCTGCTTTGTTCCTTAGTTCAAACACTTTTGTTATTTCTTGCCACTTCTGTGACATTTGTGCAATAACAAAAGAGTTTTTCCTCTTTTTCATTTCAAAATATTGATTTCAGATTTTTTTTATCGAAAAACTTTTATTTCTTACAACAAACGAAATTTGTTAAAGAAAGCTTTGGGAAAATAAACAGAATTTTCTCGGTAGAAATTTCGGTTGTTGTCGTTTTTTAATTAATTTACAGACATTGATGGAGAAAAAATATATTGGAACCTCTTGATACTAACCTTTGAGTTTTCTATATGTTCATGAATCTACCATGATTGTGGTTGCTTTAGAAAAGCAATTAATTAAGGCTGAGTATGAGAGTTTTTCAATTTTGAGAAATATAACCCCGTACTGAAAAAAATATCTCCATACTTGGTGAAAATTTGAATATAACAAGGCAAACTTTGAGACAAAAGTTGTCCTGTATGATGCATTGGATCAATCCTGAAAGTTTGATGTCCAACAATTCATTCTAGTGAGGTGAAACATTCATTCAAAGACTCAAAAAATACGTTTTTTATTTTGTTGAAAAATGGGCTTAGTACGGCTTTTCAATATGAACCATTGCCTGGACCAATGGAATCGAAACTTGCAGGGATGATTTGTGGTACTATGCATGTCATCTCTGCTCTCAAACTTTCCCAGGTTACATTCAAAATTCCCTGTAGTATCGAGTTATTTTTGTAAAATTGGGTTATTTTTCTGACATATTGCTTATTTCCTATAATATTATGTACCAATATGGACTTATGTATATAATGGATATATTTACACTGAATGAAAACAAATCTATCTCGGTAAAACAAGCATGTCATGAAGCTTTTTGTCAGAGTGAAATAAAAAAGTTTAATGATATGTAGCGTGGATGTATATAGCTGCAACAATTCTTTAGGCAAAAAAATCAAATTTGATATAATATAATTTCGGGCCTCAGTTGGCCAGGTTTGCCCTTCGGGCAAGCCCAGCCAACTTCGGCAAAATAAATATATTATGATTATAGGAAATGAGTTTATAAAATTAAATTTGAATTTGTGCGATTAATATTATAATTCAAAGATTATTATGTAAAACATATGAGAGATTTTTATATCCATCGAAGTGGTTTAGAGAATACTTTGAGATTTTAGAGATTTTTCGAAAGAAATATTGAAAGCAAAGCATTTATTAAGAATTTGTTGTGAAATGAATACACTTCGATGAGATATTACATCAGTTTGTTACTTGGCAAAATTAGAGCTGAAGTCATGTTCATAAATGAAGAAAATGTCTTAGCTATAGTAAACGGTTGTAATGTATTTGAAACATTAATAGTCTTATTGTAATCTGATATCTATGCGATCATAGATATTTGTTGAGAAAGTATTTCGGAAATTATGTAATTTGTAAGGATATTGAGGAGCTCTAAAGTTAAAGATTAATTAGGCATGTGATGACAGAGAACTTGTTATAGAGGAAAATCTAGAATGTTAGAATTTTCAAAATTCATCTGTAACCAAATGGGCATATTGCGAATCATTTAAGGTATGATGGAACACCAATGAGGCATTAGATCAATATGATACATTAGAAGTTTGTGCGGAAAGTCTGGTTAAGAAAAGATGAAAATGTGAAATGAAAAAACAATATTTCTCTCAATTTTTCAAAAACTCTTTGCCTATCGTTTGGGAAGCGGCGCCTCACGCCGCTAATTATATTTTGAGAACAACTTTGGTTGTTTGTTCGGCAAACTTATTTCAACGAATTACGATTTGCAATCAGATGAAACATAATGAAATCAGATTGATTTTGACTTTTGATAATAAATAATTATTAAATAATTTGAAAAGTTATTTTCTTCGCTATTTGATTGAGTAGGGGTAATTTTAGCTAAAAGTGACACATATGTAAAAAGTGACACACCCTTCACTCATAAAGAATTTAAGGAATATAAGCAAAGATTTGAATCAAAATCTTAGACCTAAGCCGCTCGATTCGCTCGCGGCTTCCGCGAATTACAGATCAGCAAAGATTTGAATCAAAATCTTCGAACTAAGCCGCTCGATTCGCTCGCGGCTTCCGCGAATTACAGATCAGCAAAGATTTGAATCAAAATCTTCGAACTAAGCCGATCGCTTCGCTCGCGGCTTTCTTTATTATTTTAAATTTGCATATTTCCATCAAAAGTTCATAAGGTAAAAAATTTCGTTTATTTTTACTAAGAAAAAAAGGTTTTTGATAATAAATTTATTTTATTTCGAAAAAGTAGCAATAATCGTAAAAGGGTATTGATAGGCTTGCTAAAGTAACTAATTTTAGCTGTCAAATACTTTTGTATTTTGAAGTAAATTAGTATAAATTTGTTTTTACTTTTATTTCGAAAAAGTAGCAATAATCGTAAAAGGGTATTGATAGGCTTGCTAAAGTAACTAATTTTAGCTGTCAAATACTTTTGTATTTTGAAGTAAATTAGTATAAATTTGTTTTTACTTTTATTTCGAAAAAGTAGCAATAATCGTAAAAGGTTATTGATAGGCTTGCTAAAGTAACTAATTTTAGCTGTCAAATACTTTTGTATTTTGAAGTAAATTAGTATAAATTTGTTTTTACTTTTATTTCGAAAAAGTAGCAATAATCGTAAAAGGGTATTGATAGGCTTGCTAAAGTAACTAATTTTAGCTGTCAAATACTTTTGTATTTTGAAGTAAATTAGTATAAATTTGATATTATTTTAACTCCCTTTGAAAACCTCAATTTTCCATACAGAGGGAACGGGAATAGCATCCAATATTCCCTGAGAATGGTTGCGCATTCTCAGTTCCCTCTATATTTCGAACGAAGCTCTCATCGGTCTTTTTTTTAATACTAAACGTTTTTTTCCCTGTCACTTTTAGCTAAAATTTGGGTTTGCCCTATTTGATTGGCGCTTTGCGCCAATCAAATAGCTCAGATTAATAATATGATATTATTTTAAATATGATGAAAATTTTTGAGTGAAAACTATCAAAACTAAGTCTTAAAAAATAGATATTTAAAAATGGTTTTTGATTGTTACACTACTTGTGAAAAAATGTCGATTAATCTTCTATATATAAAGTAGTGACAAGGCTGTCATGCACCAGTGTGTTATAACAGATCGATTTTATTTGAAATTTCATAAATTAATAATTATAATAAATTTGATATTCAGAGACGGCGCTACGCGCCTTTTAGCATTCTGGGCACGTAAGTGCCCAGAATGCAAGATTGAGAAATTTGAAACTTCGTTTCAAATTTCTGCCATGCTGTTATGCAAAAAGAAAGTCAGTACAAAAAAATTTTTGAAATTAAGGATACCCTTACATTGCGTAGTTAGAAAGAGAATATGATATTGTCATGATTGCTAAAGTTTTAGGCTCCAGAAATGAATATACATCAAACTGAAACAATTGATAAATTGAATGAACTTTTGAGAGGTTCTCAAATAAAAAAAATTATCTAATTTTTTACAATATTACTATTATTTTATCCACATATGTATATATAGTAATTTGAGAAAACTTTTAGGAAAAAATAAGTTTAATAAAAATCTGAATTTTACTTGTTGTGGGATTGTTATTAATTGACACTCCAGACGTATTACTAATAGTTATGCGTATGCAATTAAAGTATTTCTGATGGACAAAATGTGAGATTTATATCAGATAATTCATTTCTACTATTAAGTTATTCATTTATGAGTTTGCACTTATTCGCACTAAATAAATAACTATTAAAAATTGTTTTAATTAATTGACACCATATAATAGAGTGAATTTTGTTTGATCAAACAACAATAGATGATAGATATAAAGCCAAGAAACTTGCTATTAATATGCTCTACTTGCTATTTCAATGTAAGTATGATATTTTCTAAATGTTTCGTTCAGATAACTTAGATATATTAGTCAAAATTTGAAATTTTAATAGCACATATATTAAAAATAAATAAAAAAAAAAAAGGTATTGGGGCTTCCAGGGCTGCGCCCCTCTAGCCCCCTGAAGATGTTTAGTATAACACCAGGTCCCTCGGTCCCTCGGTCCCTCGGTTAAACGAACTTCTCTGAAAAAATGAGACAACATGACATTTTGACAACAGTCCAGGAAGTCTTAACAAGATAGGATGGTTATTTTACAAAACCGACAAGACCTTAACCGAGTAGTTTTCATGTTTTGTCACTTTTCTGTCACTTTTCAGGGAAAAAACATTTTTATTGTATATAAAATGAATTTTACAAAACCACCGTTACCCTTCTTTGGAAATAAGAGTAGATGTAAAGATATTCTATTGAGAGAACTTAAGAAACTACCGAATGGTCTAACATTTGTAGATTTGTTCGGTGGAAGTTTCTATATATCTCATTTGTGCCATACTGTATTTCCTGACTCAAAGATTATATGCAATGACTTCGACAACTATATGAACCGTCTCAAACATATACCAGACACAAACAAAATATTGAGTGAGTTGAAAGAAAAGATACCTATAGGTAAGATGGAACGTATACCATTAGATAAGAAAATACTGTCAGAGAGGTTTTGAAAAAAGCAGAGTATATTGACTGGGATAGTATATCTGCTAGACTATTATATAGTGGTGCTATAAGAGTTCATGACATTGAAACACTTATGTCAAACGTTTTATATCTTAACTATACAAAGGTTTTCAAAGAGAACATAGAAAAATATACTGAGGGTATAGAGTTTGTGAGATGTCGTTGGACAGAGTTGTATGAAAAATATAAAAACAAGGAAAATGTTTTCTTTATAGTAGACCCGCCGTTCTATAACACATGGGATTTTCAATACCAAGTAGACTGGACTTTGAGAGACTCTTTAGAAACTTTAGACGTTTTACATAACCATCCATGCTTTTACTTTACATCCGATAAAAGTGGTTTGGAAAGTGTCATGAGATGGTTAGAGGACATACATGACTATGAGTTTAGATATGACAAGATAGAATATGAGAGAGGTCCCATAAACTGGAGAAAGTGTCATAACAAAGAAATTTTATTGGTAACTAAATGTGGTTTGAAATAGGACTACTTGTTTTA